TGATGATGTTGTTCTCTGGATGTTCTCCTGCTGGAATGTTCCTCTTCTTCATCTGGTCAGCCAGTATCCTGGTTCATCCTCAGACATTCATGGAGCTTCTAGAAACATCATCAACACCTTCTGCCCTCATGCAGCCCCACATCATGATGCTGCCACCTCCGTGCTTCACTGTCAGGACCATGATCCACTGTGGTGGTCCTGGTCAGGTTCACACCAAACATCTGGACTCCATGTGAGCCCAATACATTTATTTTGGTCTCTTGAGGCCTGAATTTCCAACATAGTCTTTATAACGTATTTGTTTACTCTGCCGTTCCATTTAAAGGTAATCTGATTATTGTGAGGAGATACAGTGATTGTGTGTACATATAACACACTGTCAGACACACAACACACATTTATAGTGTACATAACACACTTATTTATCATGTAAAAGACACACAAGTAGCACACGTGTGTCTGTTTACTGCACTATTCTGAGGATGATGAAGACGATGAAGACGATGATGTCGTCTGATGTCACAGGTTTCAGCCTCCCGTCGTCGTGTTGGAGGGACGGTTGTCATCGCAGCATGAATCTCAGGGTCACAGGTCAGAGGAGTGTTTGAAGATGCCAAAGGCATGCTGGGAAAAAAGGTTGTGGTGATGTCCTAAACGTCTTCCAGTCAGTGCTGCAGTTAGCATGTTAGCTCTGAGCGTTTTCAAAAAGAGTCAAACTTTATCGAAAAGCAGCTGAAACTTTATAGACTTTATAAACTGAGATTTGGAGAGAATTTGAATGAAGCCAGCTTAATTGAAACCAGCAAAGTGAACACTGAGGTCACTGTGAAAGCAATAAAACCTCCAATAACTAATAAATACTTTGATTATGACAATCAGGAGTTCTGACCAATAGGAGGGCAGAGCTGTGGACGGAGTCAAGATGCTGCTATCAGATCAAGATCAGTTTATTTCTAATATTAAGAAATAAGTCACAACGTTAGCAAACATTTTTCAAACATGCCGAGTTTATCTGCTCACAAATGTTTTTTCATCAGGTTTTTAAACATTTTTACTGTTTTAATGTTTCCTCCTCTGCTTTATTCAGAAAACTACAGACACAAATGTTTTCCTGTTAAATTATTCCTTAAATATTTGCACATTTTTCCTTGTTGCTGTTGATTTATCCCATAGTGTTTAAGAGTTCTTTCTTACCATTTGGTGTTTTTCAGACGCTAACAGACACCATCCACAGCTGCTGTCTCTCACCAACTCCAGACTATTTTACAGTATTTTGGTGTATTTCTTAGTATTTTTTGGAGTATTTCTGAGTATTTTTGGAGTATTTCTGAGTGTTTTGGTGAAGTCAATGCTCTGAGCTGATTTGTACTGAACCAACATATCATCAGGTGTATCAGGGATCAAAGACAATCTGAACCAATCAGCTGCTCGTTAGCCGTTAGCTGAATCAGGTCCTCGTTAGCACACTGTGTGTCATACACCATACTAAGCTAGTTAGCACTGCTAGCTGAGCTGCTGCTCCATAGTTAGTTATTAGTGAGCTCAGCTGCTGCACTGGAACAAGGAATTGTGGAAAGGGTTAGTTAGCATAGCGTAGCATCTGTGGCTACATGCTTACAGGGTGACGCCGCCCAGTTTTAATGTGAAGGTGTGTTTGTTTCTGCTCAGGTCAGAGACAGGCTAAGCCCCGCACACACTTGTCAGTAACTTTGACAACTGGTGGGGCGGCCTGATCCCGCCCCTGCATGCCGGTCACTTACTGGTTCATGACATCATGACTGTGCCGGTTGCCATAGTGACTGTTTGTTTTGATGTGATCGATGTTTTTGTTTGTTGAACTGGTGAATAATGATTGATCGTGATGGCTGATCACTTTCTTTATATTGACTTTTAATTTTTGATAACTATTGATGATTGTTCGAACCAATCCTCACCCTGTGTGGGCGGAGCCAGTCGTGTGACATCAGGCTGCAGGTGTCGCAGCACCTATTGCTCTGTCAGTATTGTCAGTTGGAAAATAAAAGCTGGACATATGTTCTGTGTTTGGTTTGTCGCCTCTGTCAGACTCACCTGTGACAGGTGCTGGTGATGCCTTCAGTGACAGCTGATTGGAGGAGAAGGTGTAGGTTCTTCAAGACAGCGCCGCCGACTGAAGGGCAAATACTTTCTGGACAAGATGGATGATGGTCGCAGCGTTATCAGCTAATATGAATCCAGTTTGATTTGGTTAACACTGAAACAGTTCGGATGTCTTCCGGTAAACGGCAGAGTTTGTTCCAGGAGTCGTGTCTCTGAAATCTAGTAAACACAAAGATCACAACCCACCGTTACCTGCTAATGGCTCATTATACTCGTTACTGCTTGGATGGAGTAAACTGAAAACTACAAATACTTCGACAAAAAGCAGTATTTTAGCGCCATCTGGTGGGTGAAACCTGCAGGATCTTTTTCAATGTTTGTTTTATAATTAAGACTGGTTACCTGTCCAGGTGAACCTGCCTTCACCCTGAGTCAGCTGGGATAGACTCCGCCCCCTAGTGAGGATTAAGGTGTAGAGATGATGGATGGGTTTTATAATTGTTCCTGTTATTCATCCATCCATCATCTCTACACCTTAATCCTCACTAGGGGGCGGAGCCTATCCCAGCTGACTCAGGGTGAAGGCAGGTTCACCTGGACAGGTAACCAGTCTATCACAGGGCTACACTTAGAGACAGACAACCAAGCACACTCACATTCACACCTACGGACAATTTACAATCACCAATTAACCTCAGCATGTTTCTGGACTGTGGGAGGAAGCCGGAGAACCCGGAGAGAACCCACGCTGCACGGGGAGAACATGGAGACTCCACGCAGGAAGATCCCGGGTGTCCTCACCGGGACGCCAACCGGCGACCTTCTAGCTGTGAGGCCACGGTGCTAAACACTGAACCACCTGCAGCCCGAAAATATCATCCGATCACTGATAAATGTCATAAAAGACACAAGAGCGCCATCTGCTGGTGACCCATCGGTTACTGCAGCACTGTTGAAAACACGTATACACCGAGTACTACTGGCTGTATGTAGGACTGTACATAAGCAGTTGTTTATGTTTCATTAATGTTTATTCTTACTACATTGTTTTATTACAGCTGGAATAACCTCACGTTTGATTTAAAGTTATAAATTAGGCCGCTGCACACCGTTTCTGTTTGAAAAGAAATTCACTGGACTCAGGTTTAACGAAGTGCGAACTAGAAAAACTCTTTAATGTGTCCCTTCGCGCCTCCCGTCCGCTGCTCCCGCACATGCGCAGTGACAGCAGCCGTTAGCCGCTGCGGTGAGCATCAGAGTGAAAACAGCAGAAGGAAAACAGTCGGAAAAGCCGAAATAAAGAGAAGAACAGCGAGAACCAAGAGGAGCCGGCGTGACGGAGGAGACATGAACCAGCTGGAGCGGTAAGACTCCCGGTGAACCGGGAAACAACCGGAAATCCACCGGAACACACCGGGACACTGACAGCTAACGGCTAACAGCTAATAGCTAGCCTCCGCTTTTATTTGTTTAAACTTTATTAATAAAGTCACCGGTTGACACGGTGTCTGGCCGTTACCTGCAGTAATCTGATTACTGTCAAACCCCAGTTACTCTAAGTGGACAGAGTTCTTGAAGCTGTTCTCTGTGAAACGAGGCAGAAGTTTGGTGAAGTGTTGTTGCCGAACATCTGTGTTTCCTGTGACTGAAACCTGGTTCTGCTGAAGAACAAGAACCTGAGAACCACCTGGGGCAGCCTGGACATGGTGCTGACTTCAGTGAGCAGGTGTTAGGGTTCCGGTTTGGTCCTGGGGCAGACGGATAAAATAAGCTTCTATAAAGTCCAAACTTTATGAGAGATTTACAGAGAAAACACTCTAAAGACGATATTTCACTCATGACAGTGTGAAATAAAGGCGAACCTGAAGCTGGACTGATTGTAAACATACAACAGTGAAGACCAGCTGGTCCTGATCCGGACCGACGACCTGGTGTCATATGAGCAGTGACTGATCAGGGTCAGGATCAGGATCAGCTTTACAACATACAAGGAGTTTGGTTCCGGCTGTTGCTGTCGCCCTGGGAATGAGCAGTAGGAGAATAAAACATGAAGTAAAATATCTACAGAAAGAAATAAAAACATAAGAGGACTAATCTATACCAGAACGTACACATCTGAGCAGGAGACCTATGTACAGCAGCAGCAGCCTGAGGACGGCTCAGTGGAGTCCTGGCAGCTGCTCTCATGTCTGTGGGTTCAGGGTGCAGGACTCTGTAGGGCCTGCTGGAGGGAGCGGGGAGGTCAGTCCATGGGGTAGGGTTAGGGGGTCTGGATGATGTGGGTT